TCTTCTGACTGAATGCAATTTTTTTTTTTCTTCCTGTCCTTGAATGATCATATCACTTAGATATACTTACATGATTGCTTTGAGGATTAAAACAAGATAGAAAATGAGGAAATTGTTCGTGCCAGCAGTGATGACAAATCGTGTTCCTGGATGTAGTTTTCCGATATTGAAATAGCACAACAGAAGCTGGCAGCTTTGCTTCGCTAATAGAACAGAATATATCCAATTGTCTTGCTTTTTGTTACCTTTTTACTTATCAGAGGAGAAAGATGTTGTACAGAATGTAGTACAAGGGGATTTCGTTTCTAAAGTGGTATGTTTAAATGTTTGTAGGGTGCTGGCTGCACTTCTGGGTCTTTTAGAGCTTGGTACAGGCAGTGTTAAATGCAAGATATTTTCAGATATGGATAACTCAAGTTTCACTTGAGCTTATCACTGGCTCTTAATAGCATTTCTGAGCATCTGCGTTTAATTGTTCCCAGTGAAGAAGATAGCAAGACTAAAGGAAATGTGGAGATACGGTTTTTGTAGCATTAAACACATCTGAAGGGGGGATGTGCAGGCTTGGGATGCTTTCAGGTCTTTTATCTCAGAAGAGGTATGAAAACAGGGATATGGACGAGGCTGCTGGATAAACTGTCATAAGTCCAACTTATTACAAATACATAGTTGTGGTGGGAGTGGTTGGGTGACAGATTACTGATGGCTTTAAAATCAGCAGAAATAGTGGTGGTTACAGCACTGGAATAGTGTGTAATAAGAGAGCTGCTCAGACTTGGAAGCATTCTTTTTTTGTGAAGAATAGATGTCTTACTTTCTTGAAAGATGGGTGCAGACTGGGGTGTGCTTTGACGTTTGGCAATTATTGAGGATGTTGGTGGGAGGACAAAGTGGGGAAAAATAATCAAGTAGGACTTAATGCTTCTCAGTGATGTTGATAGATGAACGATTCAATGACAAATCAACACAGTTTGTATTTTGCAGGGTCTGACTTGTTGATTTCCTGCTCTGTGAAATGCTTTGTATCAAACTGTTGTGCACGAGCTATGTGTTAACAGACACTGGAAAGAGCCCCTTCTGATGCACAACTCGATTGCAGTGTTTTTGCTCAGTCACGATTTGTGCTCGGCTCTCTAAAAAAACAGCTCTGTGTTTTGGTGTTATTCAACATTTGCAGTAGATTGAGCTATAGATCTCTTCTGAAAACAGAGTGAAGAGTGGATAAATACAGGTGGGTGTGCTGTGCTCACGTGTGGACACGTAGCTGGCCTATGGAAGAGCTGACTTACCCTTTTCTTCATTTACAGCTATACCACGAGCTTTCAGATTTTCTGTGTTGTGATTTGTAGTCTTGCAGTTATTAAAGTAGATGAGAGGAGATACAATTCTATTAGCAAGAAATCTCCACTACCAGCTTAAGAGATGCGGGACCTTCTGTAAGCATTTTGCCTTGCATGCACCAGAAAACCTGCATGCAACAGAAAAAGGTGCTGCTTGTGGAGATGGATCTCTTTGAAGTGCTGCATCTTCCCATGGAGCTGCAGGCCAGCTGGCTCTGTTGCCCTGCTAGCAATTCCTAGATGTGGTGCATGTCAGCATGGCAATGACTACTGCTGCAGTGCTGATAAGGAGCTCACAATGGCATTTTTCCCTAGCATCTTATCTACAGAAGAAGCCTCCTGGTGCAGCCTTCTGGGGGAAAAAAAAAAAACCAACAAAAAACCCCACCTTTTGATCCTCTTGAGGAAATATTGCTACAAAGAACTCCCTTCTTGATATCCTCGTTTCCCGGTAGTGATGTTGATGTGGACAATCAGCGTGGGAAGCACTGGGGTTTAATGTGGGGCACCTTAAACTCTCTGCTTTTTGCTCTGAAATAAGCACGTTGTGATTTTTTTTGTCCATTTCCCTGTCGTCTTTAGAGCCTCAGAGCTGACTTTCCCCATGGCAGGGGGGAACTCACAGCTCTTTTGAAACAACTGCACAAATTGCAACTTTGCCACAGGTTAGAGGCTGAGCTGTGATAGTGAGGACCCAGGAACTAGAGTTTCAATAGTACAACAGAACTATTGAGTGAAGGGACATTACTCCTTAGCACTAGGATTTGCCCTATTTTTGGTTGGTGTAGAAGCTTGTAAATTTGGTATTTACTGACTCATATTTGCATGCTGTTATCTCACTACAAAATTCCATTTACATTTTGCTTTAAATCGTGTTATTTCTTTCTAACTCTTAAAAAGCTCTGATGTATTGAAATCATTTAACTTACATTGTGTTACACCATTAAATAAAGCTTGAAGGTAAGAGATAACTTGTACTGTTTCTAAGGCTAAAAAGAAAGAACCTTTGTCTCCTCTTCCTTGGCTGCTCCAGTACTAATAATGCCCATTGCTTAACGTGGTTGGTTGTGAAGTTAAATGTGTTTGAAGTCTAGCATCCTTACAGAAGGTGATGTTAGCAGAGCCTCTGTGGTGCTCATATCACCCTTGGCACTCCATCAGACAGAATGCATATCAGTTTTCTCTTTGTCAGGCTCTCCTCAAGGCAGGGCTTGCCCTCCCGTTGGGGAAATGACAGCAAAAGGAGACGGGATTGTTTGTGTGATAGAACAACAGTTGGTAGCACATGTAATCATAGGGTGCTTTGGAGTGCTGTGCTAAGTAGCAGCATTTGCCTGCCTATGTATCTTCATCAAGTGAAGTAGTAATCACTGTCTGAATTATAATTAAACTTTTTTTATGGTGTTATGGTTTAATGTAAGTGTTAGCATGGCAGATTGTAAGTGCTGGTCTCCAATCCATGTAGAGATTGGCTGTAAGTAAATCTTTAGGATGAGGTCTTGTATGTACAGTTTAGTTTTAGTCACTAATTTACCTCTGTGTTTTTTTTAATGCCTAGGCTATATTAAAGCGTTACATAAAAAATGATAGATTGTTTTTTTTGAATGTGCTTCAAATTCAACACATCTCATGTAAAGTGGGAATATAGACATGGGTGCATTGGCTCAAGTGATGTAATCCAGCAGTACACCTGATGGTAACCAACGATGAATGCTCAGAGAAAACATAAAGGCAGATCTGGTTTGACCTGACTGACAATACAAGTTTTTTTCCTTTATATCATGGCTTAAAGTTGTGTGAGGTACCTTCTTCTGACTCTTGATTTGTTTTCCTTCACACTCTTTCATTTTTGAACTTCTGGTATACTCTTTTTAAATGGTCTCTATACAGTCAGTAAAGACTTTGCTCTTTCAGTGTAAAAATAAATGAAGCAGCAACTAACTTGGTAGTGTTGTTGTTCCTCTTTTAAACTTAACCCTTCTGATGGTGTTCTTCTCACTTGTAGAGCTAGTGAATCAAAACACCCTTTGATTCACAGGCACTGATAGTGTCTTATGTTTAATCTTCACAAAACACCCTCAATTTAGTCTCCCAGTCTAAACTGGTTGAGGAAGCAATTCCTATAATCTCATTTCTAGAGGGATTGTCACCTAAGATCACGTGTACTTCAGCACTCAGCAGCTTTGCTAGATTCTTCAGTCTTACATCTCTACATGCTAGTGATTCTCATCAGTTTGGTTTGGGAGATCCAACTTGTTGATGGGGCACACTCTGGCTGGCCCCCTGCCTTCTAGCTTTGAGTTGCCTCTTCTCCCCCTCCATCTCAGTGTCATTAATTTGCTTGTTCAGCCTTCATCCAGTGTTGATCCCCGTGTAATGCCACTCACAGCTGCTTGGCAGGTTGTGCTTAAAGCTGTTGAGCTTTCTGCTTTGAGCCTGACAGTGACCTTTAACCATTTCTCCAGCTGCTTTCTAGTCTGCTTCTCCACTTTAGTGCAACAAAAGAAGCAGTTTATTCTGCTGCCAATATCATAGGGGCTAAGCAGAAGGCTGGTTACTTCATGCAAGTGTTGGAAACTGAGAACTAAAGCCTGAAATAGCAAGGGATCTGTGTTGCTTCTTTCTTAAAAGAGTTTGTTCAGCGTTTCTGAGAAACCACATCCTTTTGAAGCATCTTGGGTTGGGAGCCAAAGCGACTTTCAGAAAAGCAGGCTTTCTTTCTCAAGTAAATTCCTGTTTCTCATCAAGAAGATAGTTTTGTGGGTTGATGGCACAGGTTTTGGTAGTTAAGTGAGAGTTCCAGAACTCAAGGTTCATATTCCACCCCAACTCCTTTATCTATCTATAAATTACATGGAATTGGAGGTGGTCTGCACTGTTTTCTCCTAGCTTCTGCGTGCAGATTGTTATAATGCACTCACACACTGTATGAATAACCCTGTTTAAAGTATTATGTGGCTGTTGTCAAAGAGATGGCTGCTTGCTGCTCTTATGCTGGGGTAAATTGCAGCCTTATTTTTATAGCTGTGTACTTCTGGCATCGATGGTGTGATTTTATTCCCTTTTTAGCTAAGTCATAAATGTGCAACTGGAGAATTTCTCAGTTACTGTGCTTACAATAAAGGATGCATTTTTAAATGAGAATTGTAGCTCTTGAGCAAAGCATGCAAGGTTTTTTTGTTTGTTTTTGCTGACTTGGCTTCAGCATTGCAGATATTTTGCACAACAAAATTAGCTTGTAATGTAGCTGTCAAACAGGAAAAGTAATGTTTACTGGGCTTGTTCCCTGCTTGGTTTTTAAGCCTAGAATGGGAGGGAAAAAAAAAAAAAAAAAGAGCAGTTCCATGGGTGACTGGTGGAAGAGGGACAAGAAATGAGATTCAGTTTCATTTTGAACATTCTTAACTAGCAAAAGCATCTTTGAATTCCTGACTTTTTTTTTTTTTTTCTATTTTCTGTTATGAGTGAGTATCAAATAACACTATTTTAGTGTTGTAAGTCTTTTTGGCCAATTAATTATATGCAGTAATATCTGCTATAACGGAATTATTTTATACCTGATTTTTTTTCTTTAGCATGTTAAGAATAACAGTGGTTATTTTAATTTTACCACAGGCAAATTTTTTGACTAAAAAAAGGATATTTTCCTTTTACTTCCAGATCTTTCCAAGAACAGATTTACTGAAATTCCTCCTGATGTCTGGCTGTTTGCACCACTGGAAACGTTAAACTTGTATCACAACTGCATCAAATCCATTCCAGAGTCTATAAAAAACCTGCAGATGCTCACCTACCTGAACATTAGGTGAGTAATGCTTTTCTTATTTTTTTGCATCCTGTTGTTACCCAGTTTCCCTCTTTGAAAAGGTGGCATCCTGCTGCTGTAACACATTGCCCTCGTGGTTGTATTTCTGTCCAGGCAGACGCAATAATGGTGTTTGTTGTATCCTTGGTGCTTTAGAGCCAGCAGTTCTTATTGCTTCCTTTGTGGGAAGGAGTTGGCTACCTTGCAGAATTTCTTTAAATAAACTGTGATAGCTGACTGTAAGGAGAGTTGGTGAAGTTTTCTTTGTTTTTACTGTTACTCTAATAAAAACTGTGTTTAAAATTTACCCATAGAAACTTACCTGTCTTGGGGATAAATCGCTCTGGCCAAAACATCGTACTCATCCCGCTCATTTTGCACATTAGTCACATCCATTTTTACTGTTAAACTTGGAAAACGCATGGTTGGTTTTCCTTAGAAGAAAAGAAGCTCAACTGGAGATTGTTAAGGATGTTCTGTGAACATACAGAAGCAGAGGGAATCTGTTGGAACCTTCCTTTACAGAGCTGAGGCCTTGTTTTCCTCAGTACTCTTCGCGCTTTTAACACTGACTATATAAAGTCCAAATCATTTTCCCCAGCTGAGAGCTGTTTAGCGTGTCAGACTTGATAACAGAGCTTGTTTAATATTCTATGTATTAAACCTGGGGAAAAAGCAAAAACCCAAAACCAGCAGCCCTCAACAATCTTGAATCTCCAGTATCTGTTCTTACAGTGATAGTTTAAGTCCTCTGTTTGTGGAGATTCTTCAGAGGATTGATGATACAATAGAACTGCAGGCTTTGTTTGTTTGTTTTTGAAAGAAACTTGACCTCGTTTCCTTCATGGGAGCACAATCCCATTTCTCTTTTGATGGTGGTTGAGGTGCTCCATAAGTGCAGTAGCATTTAGTTCTGAGTGGGTGTTGGTGTTATTTCAGGAGTCCCCTCACCTGAGGTCGTGGCTGTGTTCTGTTCTTCCTTTTTGTGCTAATATCTGAGTGCTGTTTTCACAGTACATGTGGATTGCAATGGTGAACAACAGCAAAACACTGCCAGATTAGATTAAATACTTCCTTACAGAAGAGAGCCACGTGATGTCCACTTCTCATTTTGTTTTTAAAAGACTGGAGGGAAGCATTACACAATTCCAAGTTGGCTGTTCCTTTTTCAAGCACAACAGCCTTGATGACTTCACATGAATCTCCTATGTTTCACTGCTGATGAATTACTTTTTCATTGCCAAGTTTCCACAAAGAAAAGTTTACTCATGCGTTGTATCTCATGCCATCCCACCATAAGAAGCCCATCATATCTGCCTGAGGTAGAAACCCCATGCATGCATCCGAAGCTTCCAATGTTGCACTTGGCGTTAATGGAGTAAATATGTTGCTCTTTACAAAGATGCTGGTGACAGTTTATTTCCAGTTTGCTGTTACTCTTACAGTGCCTCTTTGGAACTGAAACATTTTTAAGTTGTTGCAGTCTGTAGTCCTGTAGCATTAGCAAACTTCTTTTTACTGTGGAAACAGTTGCTCTAATACATCTCCACTGACCAAAAGCAGTTAAGATGGTTTTTCTTTCACTTAAAGTAGAGGCAATTACTGACATCTTGGAATTCTTTAGGTACGAAAGGAATTACTTTCATACCACATCTGAACATGGTTCTTTTCTAATGCCTCTTTCTTCAATGTATGAGTGCCTTATGAGAGCAATTATATGCATTGCTGGCTGTGGCACTCAGCAACTACTAGATTTTCCAATGCTGATTTAAAATTGTCAGTAACAATATCTCTCTTGTTACCAGAGCAGATTTAAGCTGCTTTGAAAAAGTCAATTTTAATTAAAACTTATCTTGTGGGCTGTTACTCACTGAAGTGGTAAATAGGTGTCGAGAGTTTTGGTGATGGCATAGGAATGACACAATTAAATGGCATGGGAAGCAGTGACTTTTCATAGATCCCCCTGGTTGGGCTTTGATGAGAAGAATATAACTGGTAGACTCCATCAGTTTGGGTGGTCCTTTTGAAAGTGTTGGAAGCAGCATAAAAGCAAACATCAGGTATGGATTCAGTATTGCAGATGTTCATTAGCTCAGCAGGAATGCAGTGATTTGTCAGTATTTGAACCACACTGATGTTGCATTCCTGAGAGATTCCCTACTGCCTGCAGTCAGTGCTGATAATTGAGTCACAGTAGCTGGGACAAGGTGCCAAATCAGCTGTACCTCTCCATCAGAGTGGGGATATCATTGCACAAAGCTTAGAGAACATGGGTTGGAATTTCCTGGGATGTGTTTGCTCTTGTTTGCAGTTGCATTTGTCAGTGTTCTTTTAATTTCTTTTGACAGAGTTCTCTGTATGTTTTAACATTAGAAAGTTCAGCTACAGTACATTCTCATTTATCCGAATGAAAAAGGGGACTTAAAAAGAGTGTATTTTAGCCTTTTTCTGGTAGGGAGTTCATGATAAAGATTATAGCTTTATGAAACATGAATGAAATTATTGTTGGTGGAGAATATTTCTTCAGAATAGGAGAAAAGTACAGCATGTGAGGCTTGCCATCAGGCTTCAAGAGAGTATTATGACCCAGCCTTGCTTGTTCCATTTTTCTTTCTCTCAAGTCGAAATCTTCTATCAACGTTGCCAAAATACCTGTTTGATCTTCCACTTAAAGTCCTGGTTGTCAGTAATAATAAGCTGGTCTCCATTCCAGAAGAAATTGGAAAGCTGAGAGATCTAATGGAGTTGGTGAGTATTAACTGTATTAAGGAAAGTATAAGGACTTTGTTACAGCGTAGGAAAAATATAAATCAATAATGATTTTAAAATAAGAATGCAAAATGTAATTTCCATTATTCTTTCCTCAACATTTGATCTCAGAATACAGGCATAATGTATACTGCAGAGTTCCAAAACTGGGAATAAACACAGATCAGCACGCTGGGTTAACTTAAAGCCTTCAGAAATAGAATTGCTTCTCAGATTATTTCATCGGAATCTCTGCTTTCTGTGTGTTAAAACGTTACATTTTTCTTTCTTTACAGTAATCATGATTCTGTTTTTTTATTGAAGAACTTGATTTTTTTCCTCTGGCTGAGGAGTTTATTTAATCCATACTCATATAGAAGTTATGCCAGTCCATTACTGTGTCCTGCTCTGCATTCCCAGGCCACCCCAGCCTTTTCTCCTTCCCTTGCTTTGGTTAGGTTGAAGAGTGATTTGAGCTATTCCCAGTTCAGGTGCATCTGCAACATGATCTTGTCCTGTGGCATACAGAACCTTTGTGCTTTGTCCTCTGTTATTTTCTTAATATGCTGGGCTTTAAGTGTTAAGCTCTGCTTTTGGAGAACTGTGCACAGTCATTCACAAACTTGGCACTTGGGTGAGGTCTGATTTTTCAATATTTACTATTTCTTTGGTTACTGCAAGTAAACCATATCCTATTTTGGGAGTAGGTGTTTATGCTCCAAAGATCTTTTAACATGACCTAGTTTTTGAGATAAGGCAACACTTATTCCTTAACTCACAAGTAATACGAGATTCTGATTGTGAGGCTTTTTTAAGGTCTTCTACTCTTCTATTTGGTGAGAAGTTCTCTATACTTCAGTGTCACAGAGCTTCAAGGTGAGATCCACTGCTGCTGTTTTAAAGGAATTGATAATTTTTCAGTGTTATAATAGCACTGGTTTTGAATTATTTTTCAGAATTGTCAAAACTAGAATGCATGCTTGATGACAGATTCTGGACATAGCAGAGAGTTTCATTCCATGACCTGTTGGACCTGTTTAGCAGTTCATACTTTCTTTTTTTGACAACCAAGCCGCATGCTAGAAAGATTCCTTTTTAGAAAGGAGTCCTGTTTTCCATTTGGTGATGTGGACAGAGAAGAACTTGCAGTAGATACACAACAGCTGACCCTGAGCAGCCTATAATTTGAGACATCCAGCTGTGTGCAGTCATCTCTGTTGCTAACAGCCGGAGCTCTGGAACGGTGTAACGGGGAAGGAGGCTGGCTTAAGGCTGACTCACTCGGCTGAGTGAATAACTAGAAGCTAGCCTTTAAAATCAGCTTCCAATTCTTCATTATGTAGATAAGTATCTAAAATGTAATGGTATTTAGTCTAGGAAATGAGTCAATCCAGTGTATTTTACTGATGTTGTTATTGGAAATAGAAAAGTTTAGACGCTGTTGATTATATCAGTGTGATTATTGATTATGGACCACGTAGGTGTTGAACCAGAGGCAGAAGTAGCTGTGGGCTGTGCTCATTTGGCACTGCTTTGTTACACTCTAATGCTCGAGTCCAAAGAGCTGGTGAGCCTAACATTACTCTGTACATTTTCTGTTCCTTTGATTGAAGATTTGTAAGGAAAGAAGAATTTTTATGAAAGGAGCAGATTGTAAATCACTTGCTGGCAGTAATACGAGAAGTTTGTAGCTGACATAGAAACTGCAGCAGGATCCTTTGTTTCCTGGGGTACAGGTTTAATTTCAAAACCAGTCGTTCATCATTTGTTGTTTTAACCTTTTGAATTGAATTTCTGAAACATGAGTCACTAAATAGTGAAGAATCAATGTGAGATCTGCCACGGATGCTTTATGACAATTCTCATACCAATTTGCCTTTGTTTAATTTCATGTAAGATGTGCAGCTAATTTTTTCATTATATTTTTTTATCTAGGATATTAGCTGCAATGAACTTCAGGTTCTTCCCCAGCAAATAGGAAAACTGCAGTCACTTAGAGAATTAAACATAAGAAGAAATAATCTCCATATGTTGCCAGATGGTAAGCTGCTCATCGCCATTTCTTTAGTGTAGCTAAACAAGGTAAAGTGTTAATTGGATATCTTATTCTCCTTCTTTTTTTTTTTTTTTTTCCTCCTCCATACAGAACTAGGAGACCTTCCTTTGGTAAAGCTGGATTTTTCTTGTAATAAAATTACAGAAATTCCAATTTGTTACAGAAAGTTACGTCACTTACAAGTAATAGTTTTGGATAACAATCCAATGCAGATACCACCAGCACAGGTCAGTATGGAAAAAATGCTGCTTTAGTAATTTACATTAGAAGAGCTTCCTCTTTAAGATCCTACCTTAATACCAATCAGGTTTTATTTTCTAGCTGTATTTCTGCTAGTAGGAATTGTGAGCACAAACTCATCGATGTAGGAAGAATTTGTTGGCGTGTGTTTTTTAAAGACATGCTATGTAATTAAGAACTGTTCTTTGTTTCCAGATATGCTTAAAGGGTAAAGTACATATATTTAAATTCCTCAGCATTCAGGCATGCCTCAGAATAGATAAAAAACCAGATTCCTTGGATCTTCCATCGCTGGGTAAACGAATCCCCTCCCAGCCACTGACAGACAGGTGAGTATTGGATTTTGGTTTTGTTTGATGCTTTTATTTGTTTATATTCTTTAGCATTTGCTATGGAGTGGTCTTTGTGGCGGAGAAAAGAATGTAAAACACTTATTCTTACAGTTCAATAGCTGTAACTTCAGTGGTTTATTTTAGAAGTCATATAATTTACTTTTTAAGATAATATTACTGGAGTCTTAAATTGGATCTGAGTGACTGAAAAATCTCCATTGTGTGAAGATTTGTAGATGAATATACAGAAAATACATTTAAAAGAATGTTAATCTTCTTTTAAAAAAGTGAGACTACAGTTTCTTTCATTCATTGTTATTTTTTTAAATTTTAAGTAGCATAGAGGACTTTTATCCCAATAAAAATCATGGACCAGACTCTGGCATTGGAAGCGATAATGGAGATAAAAGATTGTCCACAACAGAAGTAAGTATATTTCACTGGTGAATTTCTGTTACTTGTTTTATAGGATTTTCTTTGCTTCTCTATTTCATATAGTTTGGGAAATGCTTGACAAAATCACATTTAACACCCTTAGAATATTTATACAGTTTAGTTTGAACCATTGGACTCCAGAATCAGTCACTGCTCCCTAAACTGTTACTGTCTTAAAAGAAAAAAGAAGCTTCTGTGTTGGGAGCTATTCCTCCTGATAAGGGTGTATTGTATTATAACTCGTGGCTTATTAGCAAATCATCTAATAATGTGATTTATATGCAAATTCTGTATTCAGTGTGACTGTCTTTGCAGCCATCTGATGACGATACAATCAGCCTTCACTCCCAGGTGTCAGAATCAACAAGGGAACAGACACTGAGGAACGACAATCATGTAGTGGGGAATAAACTCGATCCACAGAAAGGTAATATCTGTTGTGCATCTGTCACTTTAGGGAAAAGAACTGCTTTTCCTAAGGTAATCTGATTTAGGAAAATGGCACAAAATGATATGAGGGTATATTGGAATTCTATCTTTGTCAATTCAGAAAAAAATGTAATAAAAATCATAAATAAAGGAAGATAGATCAGAGGGATGTGATTTAATTCACAGATCACAGAATCACAGAATCACCCGGGTTGGAAGGGACCTCAAGGATCATGTAGTTCCAACCCCCCTGCCTAGCAGGGCCACCAAACACACACATTCAGATCAGGTTGCCCAGGACCCCGTCCAACCTGGCCTTAAACACGTCCAAGGATGGGGCATCCACAACCTCCCTGGGCAGCCCGTTCCAGGGCCTAACCACTCTCCTTGTAAAGAACTTCCCCCTAACATCCAACCTAAATCTTCCCTCCTTCAACTTGGATCCATTTCCCCTAGTCCTGCTGTTGTCAGCCCTTTTGAAGAGTTTACTCCCCTCGTGGGTGTAGGTTCCCTTCAGGTATTGATAGGCTGCAATGAGGTCACCCCGCAGCCTTCTCTTCTCCAGGCTGAACAAGCCCAACTCCCTCAGCCTGTCCTCATAGGGGAGGTGCTCCAGCCCCCTGATCATCTCAGTCGCCCTCCTCTGGACCCTTTCCAAAATCTCAATGTCTTTCTTGTACTGAGGGCTCCACACCTGGACACAGTACTCCAGATGGGGCCTCACAAGAGCTGAGTAGAGAGGGACAATCACCTCCCTGTCCCTGCTGACCACCCCTCTCCTGATGGAGCCCAGGATCCCATTTGCCTTTATCTTGCATTGCGTTATCTTTATCTGTAATTTTTCACTAGTACTTCTGACTGTGACTTCTCTCTCAACGTTTGATTAACAGAACTGTTAATACTCTCTTTTCTGTTCCTAATCAATCTTCACTAGACCAGGAGGTGTATGATTACATTGATCCTAATGCAGAGGAGGGAGCTGTTCCTGAGCAGGGAGATGTGCAGATTGGACCACTGCTGTCTTATATAAAGGTAGCATAGCTTGATTCAAATCTCATTCAATGGACTTTTTTTTTTTTTTTTTTTTTTTGTGTGTGTGTGTGTGTGTGTTAAATTGAAGTCTAATTTGTTTTTCATCCTAAATAAGGAACGAGGAAAACACCCTGAAAAATCCCAAAAGATAGAGCACAGTGAGGACTGGGGAGATGAAAAAAGGTAAATCTTTACAGTCTTTTTTTGATGAGGGGTTTTACTTTTAAACTCCTTGTGTACAGAAGTCTGTTAAACACGGAGCTCTTCTTCTTGAGCAAAAAAGCAACAAAGAGCTGCTTGTTGCTGTTTTTGTATCTTGCTTTACTGAAGTCAGGCAAGTCACTGGTGTTTAATTTTTCAGGCTTCAGAAAGAACAGCTGCTGGCTGAGGAAGATGATGAAATCAAAGAAGTGACAGACTTGAGAAAAATAGCTGCTCAGTTACTGCAGCAAGAACAAAAACACAGGTATTAACAATGTTAGTTAACTGTGTTGCAATTAATGTATTCTTTAGCCTGCCTTGAACTTAAAAGTTCTTCATTCTGAGAACACTTTTGAACAGTTGAAGCAATAGGCTGTCCCATGTTTCTTTTCATAAAGTTGCTGTCTTAAAGGAGTGATATCCTCATGTGGAAAGGAGCACATGATAGGGGAAGTGTCTTGATTTTTATGGTTTGTATGGTAATCTTTTTTTTTTCTTCTTTCTCTGACCAAGGTAGCATGGCCAGTGCTCACCTAAATAGACTATTGTCTACATTTACCATGTGGTGGATGTATATCTTTTATGACGGCTGTTTATACTGTATGTGTGTCTTGTCTGGTTAGCTTTAGAATGTCTTGGTTACCTAGTGTTTTGTAGTACCAAGCCACTCCTCTTCTGGTGTGCTGCAAGTTAAACTTCGTCATACATTCTTCTGTCTTACAGCAGTGATCTTGTTAAATGTTTTACTTTGCTCTTAAATTGATCATATATATGTGATCTCAGTGATTAAATTTTACTTCTTAGTTTAGGCTTTGTATTTAAAGTTTGCTTATGTATCTTTAGTTATATGGGGGGTAAATCTCTAATATAAAATGGCACTTATTTGCAATTAGTAAAGTGAAATTTAGACCTGATTTTGAATCTGTGGCTTGTGGATTCGTAGCTTCTTGCCATAAGCAGCAGTAAGAATAATGTTTCGAAGTTGAATTGAGATATTTTTGAATTTGTGGAAAACGTGCACAGCTCGAGTCAGCAAAATGCTCAGAGAAGTGAGCAGCATGAAATAACTCCTTACTAGTTGCATTCCTGTTCATTCGGTGTGTTTGCTTTTAATACTACGCAGTGTTTCTTTTCTTTTTGCTTGCTGTGCTAATGACTTCCCTGTCCTTTCCCATCAACCTGTTCCGCTTCCTTCTTCCATCTTTGGCTTTGATGTACATGAAATATGAATGCAGACGAAGGCCATTAAGCTATAGAACTTCATTCAGTGAAAAGCTCTTCCAGAGGACGAGGGCGGCAGGACGTGCATCCAGGTATACAGTGTTTGTGGAGCATCAGGTTTTCTAAAACAAAATCTGGAGAACAGAAACATTTCTGGCCATTTTTGGAAGCAAAGCAGAAAATAGGGGTTGGCTAAGTTAGCCTAAGATACTTTGCTAGCAAAAACAGATTGCAATGTGTTTATCGTTAGTTAAGTTGAAATATTGTTTCAGGAAATATTTAATTAGGCAGCTCAACAGAGTACATTTAAATGACCCTTGACTATAAGCCTATTTTTCTGTCCCTATCCCATGCTTTATCTCCTTTTTTTTTTTCCTTTTGTTTTTGAATCTTTAAATTTAAATTTAAATTAATTTAAATAATATAAATTTTAAATTTATATTATGGAACCTCAGAGGAAAAAGTTTGTTCCTTCAAAAAGCTCTTGAGTTTAGTGATTGCTTTCATACTATCATGACTGAGAGTTTGTTTTGCATTTGTCAGCCATGAGTGAAGCAACAGGTACACAGAACTCACAGGAAGCTGGAACTCTGAGATGGAATTGTGTAGGTTGTGCTCAGATGTATGTGTATGTGATGAACTGAGTGCTTTCAGGTTTAGCTACATTATCAGTTAACTTTAACTTATTGTGGATGCTTTCTGCTGAAGCAGACCAGGAATAGGATAATTAATTAATTGAAACGATCTTCTGTGGTACCAAATGAGTCTGTTTCACTTCTTGTGAGCGTTGGGTGTATGTGCTCCCCTGACAAAAGGAACTGTCTGAAGCTGTAAGAGCACAGCTTACAATGACAACAGAATACATGAAGGCATTAGACTGCTCCTGAATGACTGGAGTCTTTCTCTTGATTTATAATCTGTTATTTTTGGCTTACAGTGAAAGATTTCTACTGTCTTTGTGAGCTTAATAGATCCCAGATAGTTCTTGTATTTTAAGCATAGTGGTGGCAATCCTTCAAGCACCAGTAGCATCATTTGCTTCATTTGCGTTCCTTAATTGCAATATTGTGTTTATTTAAAATATAAAAACGAAGACTGTTGAGAAGAGAAGCTGCTTTATCAATTCTCAGACCTTGGAAAATATTTTTCAGTAACATAACTGGACTATCACTTCTTTCCCATCTCGTCAGCAGTTTGGTGCAGTTGTTAGTTTGCATGGCATACAACCAGAAAAATGAGTCAGCGTTGATTTTTGAGCTCAGTGTATTTATAAATATGTGTAATTGTTTGTGCTGTTGAGTTTTTACGTTGCACACTGTGTGTGTTTTAGAACCCTTGCAAAGCTGTAGTTGATCTGTGTAGTAGCACAATTTCTGTAGTTAGTGGGAACGTAAGTAGAAAATAAACTGCAGTGCTGATGCAGTTCTCTTCTGCCCATTCTTACACTGGGATTCAATATGAGCATCTGCCAGTCGTCTGTCCAAATCTTTGTGTAGCTGGATTTGATAGATGGCAAGAGTCAAAGCAGTTGCTGGGCTCTTTGTGCCATTAACGTCTTACATAAAGGAGCATCATTTTAGGATTTAAGTTTTGTTCTTCCCTTTATTGCCCACTGTTTTGTATTGTATTTCCTGGAAGAAAGATCGAGGCTACCAAGTCTGTATTTCCAGATAAACTATTTTGCTATGAACTCAGGAGTCTGTAGTTCTCTAAATTCATATTAATTTAGTATGAATTATGATGTATGACATTATATGGCATAGTTTTTTCCTAACACTTCTATTCCTGATTATGGAGAAGAAATAGCCTTTGCTACATAGAATCATTGAGTTTACAGGAATTAATGCCCATTTTGGTCAAGCAGATGCATCATTGTGTTTGGGTCTCTCAAATTTCTACATCCCTTCAGCTCATCTTAATGATAAAATATCACTACAAAGTTTATCTGAATTTCTCATTGCCTTTAGTGGAACAGAGAGAGCTAAATTACTCTGGGAATTGATTCTAAAAAGTAATGACTACAGAGCAGTTTATTTCATGATGGTTGGTGCATCCTGTGCTCTGGAAGTTAATTTTTTTGATGAAATTTACTTATTTCTGGACTTGTTTAAATTCTGGAAAGTGCCCTTCAGGTTGATTCTGAGGACAAAATGTAGGGAAGCACGTGCTGCAAACTGAATTATCGAGTTGTGTTACAGGCTTAACTTCTCAGTCCTATTAAACTGAATTTCACACACTGAGATTTGAACTAAAAGAGTGATGAGTGAGCTCAGAGTTACGACAGTAATCAGAAGTCTGAATGGAAATTAGCCATCATTTGAAGTTCCTTGTTTTACTGCCATATATTACGATGATGACAACATGCAAGCAGAGTAGTTGGTTTTCTTCTCTTTTTTTTTTTTTTAATTTTTTTTTTTTATTTTTACATATTTTTAATAATTCTACGTGTAATTTGATGTAAACTTCTTTGGTCAGTCCTCTCCAGCATGTGGTGAATTCAGTGTTGAACCATAATGTTGATACCTCCAAGAATTCATTAATCATTCTAGTTATCCTCAATGTGATGCTTAACTGAAAATATTTAAGTGTTTGTGGTGGGTTTGGTATTTTTAACATTTTACACACAGGAAGGAGATTATGTTTATTTCCAATTTAAAAATTATAATCTGAATCTGTATATAGTTTTTTATTGCTTAGGGTTGAGGAAAAAGGACTTTCTGTAGGTTTATTAGACTTAGGTTAGTTCTTAGCTTGCATTTCTCTTATTCTCCTGTTTTCCCCCTCTCCTTTTCTTGCATTTCTTTTGCATTTGCAGTCTTAATCAGCAGCCCTCCTTCCTCCTGCTGACTGATCTGCAGTGCTCAGCCTGTTCTGTCTGCTGTAGTTTGACCATCTTGTCTCTTCTGGTTTTAGCAAACAGTGGGGCCTTTTGTGTGGAGGGTGGAGTAACTTCACGCAGCTGCAAGATCAGTTCAGCTGGTGTGTGCTTAAAGAGAAAAGGGGAAACTGCATTTTGGTTTGGATTATGATTGATTTTAGTTTGTTGAAAGTCAGAACAGGAGCATTATACAAGCTGAAAACTGCGTTGTTGTTTTGAATGGAAGCAGAATTGGCCTTGGATTTCATATCTATGGGTACACATGTACATATTCCAACTTTATGCAAGATCCTACCTTTATTGTTCAAACTTTATTTACAGGAAAAGTTACACTGTGTAAGTGATGTGTGTTCTAAGAAAAAAAAAAAAAAACAACTACAAAACTATTGACTATTATGCTTTTTTTTTTCCCTGTAGGCTTCTTAATCATTCAGCCTCAGTAAGCACGAGGAACAGGCCAAAGCAGCCAGTGGAGTCTGAAAAATGGTATTAATCTACTTTATCATAGCTTTTAATATTTTATGGAACTAATTCTGGTATTTGTTTTATGTCAGTAGTGCCATCTTTTGACCTAGTGTTTTAGTTCAGGATGAAACAACAGAAACCTGTGCGTACACAAGGTACATAGGTGTTACAGACTGTTGTCTTATTGTGCTGATGTGCAGGAACTCCAGTCACTCTCTCTGTTAGGAACATAAAAAGATAATAGAAATACTGACATATCCATAAGGAATTCTCACGTATAGACCGTGTAGTAGCTATAGATATGTATGTACTAACAGCAGATCAGAATTATTTATTGTAGCAGTTCCTGCAGTTCTCATTACTTAACAGTCTAACAGATGTGATTCAGACAGATTTCCTATGCCTAACAGCTTTAGAAAGCAGATCAATTGGTTTGAGGCAAACACGAAGAAAAAGGAATAGAAAATACAGAAACTAAGAAATGCCTGGTTACTTTGGGAGTAGATTTTATCATCATTGCATACACAGAGCTGAGTCCATGTATTAAATCCTCAGCTGTAGTTTTTTTGGTATACTGCACGGCTTCTGAGCTCATGTTCTACTCCAGCTGTCAGAATGTGAATGAAATGGTTGTTGGTAAGTTGATGGAGCTGAATTTCACAGAAAGATTTAGAAATAAAATTTTTAAGTGGCACTAAATCTAAACTTTTCTGTGTTGCTCTGATGAGCTCAGGCACCATCCTTGGCCTAGAGTATCCTTTTGAGATTCTGCCATTTCATTGTCCCATCTTAAAAGGTTTCTCACTTCCACTGTTAGTGTAAGCTTCTACTTAGCTTTATGGAGCTAACAGTGAAATGAAGGCTGTGAGTCTTCCAGATGCTTGAGAACAAATGTTTTGCCAGCTTTGAAGAAATGCTGGGTGGTTGCTTTGAAAAACAAAATAATGGAACGCAGTAAATTCTTGTTCTTTAAATACACAAAAATAAAGTAATGAAATTCCGTAATGCCTCTCCTTTTGATTTTTAGTGTCTCAGCAGATGAAGTGAACTCTCCAGTGTCTCCATACAGCTGGCAGGTAAATATCCAAATGCAAAAGGTTTGTTTGCTTCATAGCTAAGTCACTTTGTTTCTTGCCGAAAATGTGTTAATTTGGTTGCTTGCATATATAGTGTACATGTAATTGTGGAAAATGGAAAACTTTTCATCAACTTTCAGACAGTTTGACTCAAGTTGTGTAATGCAAGGCTTTTTAGGGGGTATGGTAACGGCTGTATGATTTTGAGACTGGTGAGATAAAGTTTGTTTTTTGAATTTATTTACATAAACAATAAGATGATGGCAAATCAGTAAAAAAGAAAGAAAAAAGTATAAATAATTTGAGTTATGTATGTCTTCCACTCCATGTACCTCCTCCAGTCTTGCATGACACAAAATTGAAGTGAAACTGTAAAGGGTACTTCATTATTTTTGGGTCTTAATCCATCAGTTAATACAGTTGCTGAATGGCCGAATAATTTAATAGAAATGAATCTTTCAAAATGTAGATACTCTGTCTTAGCCTCTTTATGAATTGGTGCCTTCAGTTTGTCCACTGGTTTCCACAGAGCAAGCAAACATATTTATTCTTACTGTAAGAATGAATTTCCATTAACTGCCTCTGTCGAAGTATTCCATTATGCAACATTCTGAGGAGACTTTTATACTGCTGTCTGGTGTTTGTAGCCTTTTGGGTGACAGCAGTATGCAAATTCTTCTTATATTCATCCTCTTCCTGTGCAGTGAATGTTCATACTGAGAGATGAGATGTGCTGCTGGCTAACCACAGTTCTGACCGGCCCTTCGAAGTTATGTATGGTAGCATTGAAAGGCTTCCTAACGTACCTGTGAATGTTAAGCTAGTGCAGAAAAGTGTGTTGTTCTCATAAGAATGATTTTGTAGTTCCTTTATCTTGTATGAAGTGTATTTTAGCATTTCAAGTGGTTCATTTTTAAGTGGAGAGTTGATTTCTACTAGAATTCCTTTTGACACTTCCATGCCTTAAAGCTACGCTGTGGGAAGCCATCTGTAGTTTATAATGATTTGTGATAATGCATGCAAGGTGTATTTTATCATCTTGTGAAGTATTTGTAAACTTTTCTAGCCACTGGAAAACCAGAAGGATTCAGTGGACGATCAGCGCTGGCCAGAAACACAGCCAATAATTTGGCAGAATGAAGAAAGGAGGAGAAGTAAACAGATTAGAAAAGAGTATTTCAAGGTAATACATGGTGTGGGTAATTACTTTGTATTTTTTTTCTTTTACCTTGTATTGCTTGGGCTTTTGCTCCTTTGCTTTGCAAGCCATGCAAGGTTGGAAAGGACCTTTCAGAGCATCTGTTTCAAAGCACCCTGCTATAGACAGATTGCTCAGAGCCCCATCCAGTCAATCTGGCTCCAGTTTGAAGGATTTCATTTTCAATCTAAGGAAAATGTGCTTTGCCTTTTCTTGCAGCGTGGTTACAAAGGATATACATGCATTTTGGTTCTCACTGCATGTTTGCTCTGTATTGATTTTGCTGCTGCAGTGAGTATCATTGGTCACTAGGTGTCAGTGTCTGCTTGTTGCAGAACTGCTGAGAAGCAGCAGCACTCAGATAAAATGTGCTTTTACACATAGTAGAGGAATAGGATACTTCTGATCAGTGCTAGGTTAAGATCTAATTAGTAAGTTATGAAATCAGTTTCTTGGGTCTCTACCATCAAAGATCTTTATAAAATGATAGGGAATTTGAAAGAAAGTAAGTCTATGGGGGAAAAAATAGAGCATGCTTTATAATCGAGATACTTCCTTGTGATTGAAGAAGCTGTTGATTTTCTTGCCCTTGGGAATTTAGAGTTTTATCCTAACTTGAATTCTAGTGACCCCTTTCCAAGGTTTGCATCCGTTAATTAACTTCACACTGCAGTCTTTGAGGGGAAGGAGGAGAAAATTCTCAAACAGAATCCTGCCGTTTAACTCATTAATCTAAGCATGTTTAGTAAGCATTCATACAGAAGGTTTGCATTGGTTATTTATTATCACTTCAAAAAGTGTATTTAAATACTAATAGTTCTGAGCTGGTGGTGGAGGCAGATACCTGAAATTACATTTCATATAGCTGTGTGTCTCAACATGCTTAATTTACTGATGTATAAGCAACAAAAAGTACTGTCTCACTTCATTCTCATCAGTTTCATTTGCAAAAACAAGGCAACAAGTAAATGAAGTGAACCCTTTCATCCATGACAAATGTGGGGGGAATCAACTAAACACAAGTGAGCTTCACAGCTGTTCTGAGAGCCAAATCAAAGTACAGTTCATAGTGTCCATATTTTCTTGGCAAAAAGAGTGCATTGAATAATGTCTGTAGTGCCAAACATTAATGAGTATCTTAAGAGATGTCATGCCAAGCTACTGCAATGGGTGTTATTAAACCAGGAATAATTTACTTGGCTCAGAATCCAGAAGTATTAATAGAGCATCTTTATTGTATAATCTATATAGTTTTATTGCTGCAATTGTTCAGTGCAGCTAAGGATGCCTACGAGAATCAGAGCTCTTCTTCCTTAGTATGTCTTTGAAGCCTGGCCAATATTTCAGATCTTTATTGTAGTGAATATTATTGATACAAGAACTTTTACCATCTAAGACAATTTTATGAACCCAAATGCATTTTTGTTGGGATAGTTTATAGTTGGATTGTAGCTCGATCTAAGCAGAAATTCTGCTTAGCATACTCACAAGGGAAAGGAATTGTGAAATGGTTAAAAAACCTAAATGCAGAACTGGCTGAAGGCCTGCATAAAAAAGTAGTCAGCTGTGGATGTCTACAGGGCACAGAAAATTAAGCTTTGGCATATAAACTCCCAAAGTAATGTATTTCCTTGCAAACACACAGGAGATATTTCCCTTGAGATATACCAGGGATAACCTGAAGAAGCAAAATGTCCAGACATAAATGTGTGTAACACATCTGTGTGTGACCCCAGGACTACATGAACTGCATACATAGGTTCCCTTTCAAAAACAAAAGAAGTCATTCAATAACTCTTGAAAAGGCTTCCTCTCAGAGGAAGGCTGGCATCTTAAGTGTTTCATTAAGACATAGAACTTCACCTAACAGAACTATCGGAAGTTGCGTATTTGTGAATGTTTAGAACATAATTTCAGGGCAGTTTTGTCTTCTTAAATTCTTCTAACTGTAACTTATGGGCAGCCTTAAAAATCAGATCTCTGAGGAGAGATCCTGAAACTGGATTCTTCCATTTCCAAAGTCACACTCTTAATCTGTCGTGTTTTGTATTGTATCATAAAAGCAGATAGTGCAGCCCCATGCACTTCAAGCATTGAGTTTTGTGGAGGCTGAACTCTTCAATTCTACCTGTATTTTCCTGTTTATTTGTGTGTTTCCTCTGCATGCAATGAAATACATTTCTTTTCCATCCTAAATAGTGCTTTTGTAACTTTCTTGCTTCAATCTCTCCCTCATTTCCGTTGCACTTCTCAGATAATCAGGAGATGGGGACAGGAGCAATGTGCAAAATTTCACAGACCTCCTGTGAAAGAGCAGTGTGGCCTTCAGTAGGTAAAAGTATGTGATCAGGCTTTGCAGTTGTAAATGAAATCCATCTTAAAATTGCTTCTGCAGTGTATGTTTGTATCTAATGCTGAAGGCTGTCAGTTACTGAGGTCTGTCTTCTTGAATCAGATGTTATATGCAGTCAGAATTCACGTTATAAAAGTATTTCTGAAATGGGTTTGTTCTCATCAACATACAGAAATTCTGGGTATTCCTGGGTAGCCTAGGAATTGGGTGTTCCTTTTGTCTTCTTTCTCCTTCCTTTGATTCTGTAACGTGTTCTTTTTCTCGGTAGCTTCAAAAGTAGTAACTTCTGAATGGTGTCAACCCATGTAGTTTGAAGGAAAACCATGCTTCCATTTTCATGTTGATAATTCTGTGTGTTTTGCAGTATAAATCTTCCAGGAAGAGTTCAAGTGGAAATGAAAACGATGAGGTAAGAAATGGTGATTGTGTGAAATGCATAAGAGAATTGTTTTATTTGCCTCTTATAAACACCAGTGAGCCATGTTTATGGAACAGCATGACATTGGCTAGAGTTGGTGCAAACCAACTTTGCTTTCCCAAGGCCATAGCAGGAATACAATGAAATAAATATACTCCTATTTGGAAAAAAAACAGCCAAAAAAACCCCAAAATTGTGTAGTGTGGAAAAGATATTATAAAGTATTGTTCTACATTAGTTTTCTTAAGTAGTGTTTCCTACGTTACATGTCTTTAAATTCAGTTTCTACCAATTTGTGCCATACTTGACAAATGTACGTCTCGTGTATTTTGTATTTCATTATTTCATGTTTTCTTGTTAAATCATAGTTTTCATTTTATAATTTCATCTCTTTGGTTTCTTTTTAGCAAGACAGTGATAATACTAATGTGTCCCCACAGTCTCCTGTGTCGTCCGAGGTACAAGTTTGTGGCTTTGTTTTTCACTCAGCATTTTTTTTGTGCACATTGCTCGTGTCTCCAGGTTTGCCATGCAGACATAAAACTGCTAGCTTACTTTAGAACTGGAATTAAGGCTATTTCTTTGTAATGAAGGGTCAAAAGTAGAAACCAGAGGCATAACGTGTTGTGTTTTTTTATTTTTACCTTTGCAACTGTCTGGTTGTCCCTAGGTTATTATTATTATTTTTTTTAAATTAATTGCTATGTAGGAAGATGCATTACTTTGTCTCCTTTATTCTCCAAATGAAAGCAGCTAATGAAGATTAATCCAATTTGGTGTATGAAGTAGTTTTCCCTTATGCATTAGCTGCTCAGAGAGGTTCAAGTAAAACTTGTGGTTCAGTTTTCAGTACATTGCAGGGAACCCAGAGGTACTGACACTGCTGAAGTGGTTTCATTCTTAGGATTTCCTGTCATCTGTATGATGCTGCCTTGCAGCTTCATTCATCGGTTGTGTTGCTTTATAAGTAGCATCTGTGTAGTCTCACTGCACTTGCACTAATCTCCTAAGCTGTAAACATACCATACCAAAGAGAAGTGTTTCCAGCTAGTGCTGATATGAAGCCGGAGTGGGATGAGTAGAACATCTCCCACACACAATGAAATGCACTGAACTAAGAATTTCTCATGTGTGTACATACCAGATTGCTGAGTACTTTCTCTTAGTTGTTTCTCATGTCACAGGATATCTTCATAATTGAAAACAAACATTTCTTAAAAAAATCAGTTGCAAAGATATCTGCGTTAGCGTGCATCTGCATTAGAATTCAGTTAACAGAACGGTTTGCAGTTGTTTAAGGTGATTGAGAATAGGTATTAATCTTAGAATAGATTTTAGTTTATCTGGTGCTGATTTTTCTGCCTTGGTAAGATGAGTTTACTTCTATTCCATTTTCATTGTAGTATCCATTTCTGAGAAGTGTTTTACAGTTAAACAGAAGGGCTAATTCTGTTCTTTTTTAGACAAGAATAATTTAAATGCTATTTTGATGGGAACAGAAGTTAATTATTGCAATGAACAGAAGAAAACAGACTTTTTCTCTCTTTTTGACAGGATTATGAAAGGACTGATAGTAACACTCACGGTCCGTTTGGTCTCAAACCAAGGTCAGGTAAGCTACCTGAATGAAAACAGGTTTTCATTCCCCAGGCAGGAGCAGAAAAGGACACCAGATGCATGCATTGGAATGAATACAAAAGGAGGACACAGCACATCATTTCACTCAGTGTACTTACCACAAGCATGGTTCTGGAAAAGACATGGTTTGCCAAAGCAGCTGTCCAATAATTGAAAGTTCCCAGAGCTGCACAGTCACTTTAACTTCACTGATTTATTTTTTGCATGTTTAGTCATGGTGAAAGAACAGGGAAACAGCGTGCAGTTGTTTGTGAGACATGATGAGGCAACAGGGTTTCAAGAGAAGTAGTTTTTTGTAATTTGTCCCGTGAAAGGATGCATGGAGCACAGCTTTGTCAGGAATTGCATGTCTTGGTGCCTTATTGTGCTCTGACTCTTCCAAAACTCTGCCCCCAGTTGCATCAGACTAGATTATCTAAAGGCTTTCAGTTTTCTGAAATCCAGAGTTTCAGAATATCCACAAATACTTTGCTCTTACAGTACTATTTTTTTTTTAAGGTCCATGAGAATATTCTATGTCAACAGTATAAGACATAATTTGGCAAAGCCAGTCTGCAGTCTCATTTCCAGCTAACATAAGTTAACAATCTTTGTGCTTTTTTGTTTGTTTGTTTAAAGAAAAGATAACCTGACATTTTCTGTCTTCATGGTAGTGAAATTTGACTGCTTAAATGTTAACCTGTGAGCCCTCATTAGCAGTGTGTGGCTGAGTTCATACAAGTGTCACCTTTAGGGTCCTCAAATCATTTGTCATTTGTAAGCAGCTCTTGAAACGCTGTGCCAAACAAGATTGGCTTGTTGCATATATAAGGGCATGATTGGCTGTGCACATCTGGAGTGATCTGTGTCCTAGGCTGTAGGAAGTTGGGGTTTCATAGAAGTTAGGAGGCTTGTTAGTTCTCCTTTGCCAGTACTGTATAAAATCTAGTTGTTAGGCTTTCTGAACATGATGAATGAAGTGAATTGCAGTCAAAGTATTTAAGAGACAAGCTCTGAACTCTTGGATAAGATTCTTGTTCCTTTCTTTAGCCTCCATAAAAATATTTTCAAGCCTAGCTTGCAAGATAAGCTTGCAGAAGTACAGATAGAAACATATACCTTAAGTATTTGAATAGTGAAGTCAATTTTGTGTCCATATTTTGATGTAATGCACTTGCAGTTAAATAAGATGATTTATGTTTTATTTGAAGACTGTCTCATGGACAGCATTTGTTACTTCAGGATACTGATGTGTCTCTTTTCTGTCAAGTTCCATAGCATGTTTTTCCCTGCTGTTATCCTTGATGGTAGATTTTACTACTGTTCTTAAAATCTGAATTCTGAAGGCTAACTTCAGTCATGTTCAATAGCTTTCAGCCGTGCAGCTCGCCAGGACTATGGAGCAATGGATCCTGGATTTACAATGAGGAGGAAAATGGAGCATTTAAGAGAAGAAAGGGAACAAATAAGACAACTTCGCAATGTATGTACTGTTATGTACTATGTAGGTGCAGTGCATTTTGTTTGCTTTGAACCACAGTTGAAACCTTGGTAGTCTTTTACTCCTCCTTCTAGTAAACTTCTATGTGATTTCAGCCCACAAATTCTGCACAGTAACAGCTGTGGAGGTATTCAGCCTCACATTTCTGCCTTTAAATTCTGTGCTTTCTTGTTATGAGCAGTGGGATTCAGCCTGTGGTTTTGAGAGCTGTTGTGGTAGTTGCTGGCTGAATGTCTGTGTCAGTGTGTGTGGCTGTCATTGAAAGGAAAAAACAGAACAAGCAAAGGGAATGTGATCTTGATGTGGAGTAATTGTGCTCAGTGAAGTATGAATTGACTCCACTTAACCCTAATATTAAAATGCCCTTTTAAAACTGTCTGCTTTAAAACACCTCGTATTTAAAATGAATAATTAGCTAAACAACTCACTCACGGGCTTTTTAACAGAATCTTGAATCAAGGTTAAAAGTAATCTTGCCAGATGACATTGGGGCAGCACTGATGGACGGAGTCGTTCTTTGCCATCTAGCCAACCACATAAGGCCACGCTCCGTTGCCAGCATTCACGTACCATCGCCAGCAGTGGTAAGTCATTTAGCTCACTTTTTTGCACAGTTAGCTCACTTTCTTTTTTTTTTTTGCATCATAATTGAAAACAAATTTTTGAAGCTGATGGCAAAAAAAAGTCATGTATGATATCTGCCGTATTCAATCTTTTTCAAGAATTATTAAATAAGGCTCAGAAGTTTCGTTGAAGAGCTATTTTCGTGTATTGAATCTGTATAATTAGTGTTCTGGTTTGTATTTTAGCAGCTGTTGCAGAATTTGCGTCAGATGTAAACAGTATTTCACAATTACCTGATGAAAATCCTCTCTTTACAGCCTAAACTCAGTATGGCAAAGTGCCGAAGAAATGTTGAGAACTTTCTGGATGCTTGTAAAAAATTGGGCGTTCCACAGGTATGGTAATTGCCTTCATGACTAACATCACACCAAAGGTATGTCAGTAAATAGAGCCTGCAGCAGGGCAAGCAGGTGTGGAGCAGTAGTGATTATAACACTGTCCAAGGAGCTTAAAGATATGAAAGGAAGGGAAGAGTCCTATTTCTGGCCCATAGCATTAAACTGAGGATGCTCTGTTTCCAGTTGGCGTCTAACAGCAGGAATAATACTGAGGACCCAATCTGTTAGTGCCTCCAGGAGTTCCCAAGGGGAAAACTGATAATTTCCCACATCAAGATGTTTTCTATGCAGATATCTAACATATGTGCAACTTCAGGGAGAATGCTTTTGTTACCCAGCTGGGAGAGAGTGAATGAAGCTTAATACCTATTCTACTTTATTTTACAGGAGAGACTGTGCTTGCCTCATCACATACTGGAGGAGAGGGGTCTGGTGAAGGTTGGCCTCACAGTTCAAGCTCTGCTTGAATTGCCCACGTTGAAAGTATCTCAACTTTCTGCCATGTAACACGAGTTCTTGGAAGCTCTGGAGCAGTTCAGCTTCCTACATAGGATTCCTACATAGGAACATCCAAGCCATCAAAAACTAATGTCTGTCCAGATGCTGTAGAGAGCCTTACTTTGGAATTATACATGAAAACCTTGGAGTCAGCTGATGTTAAAATACCATAACGATTCGTTTCCTTTTGTAGTTGGATGCACAAAGATTTTGCATCAGGTTCTCTTTCCATTTAAAGTTAAAACTTTAAGTTCAAAATGACCATTTAGCATCTCACAATGTTACAGTTAAATGCTGGATTTCTTTTTCTACATTGGAAACGGTTTTCGAATTAATTTAGAAGTACAAAACCTGATCCTCCTTGCTTGAATTATGAAGGTCAACTGTCTGATTTAAAGGCAAAACGAAAACGTGGCTATGATTTGATGGTAAAAACGCAGTGACTGATAGCTGTAATCCACTCCCACTCTCTTAGAAACCTTAACTTTAGTGTTCTTTCTTTTTATTTTTGCACTCCTGATTGTAACTTACGCACTTCCAACATTGCCAGTATTTAGTCTGAGTGTGTGGTGATGCAAAACAATGGGAAAAAGGACACTGAGTTTTGTTTTTTTTCCAGTCTTCTAGGTTGGTGCCAAATATTTTTTTCAGTTGTACTGTAGATTGTTTACATGTGAAGTGCCTGTGTAATTGATAACTCTTACTAGTCTTAAACATTTTTTGAGATTTCTTTGTTGAAAATAGATAAAATGGGAATTTTTAAATATTTTAATAGTTTTTTGTAAAATCAACACGTGGAGATTTAACTGATGCTTCACATTTTTTTGATGTTGGGTGTTTTAAGTTTGTTGCACAGTTGATTATGTCGTTATCTAATAATTAGAAAAGACTGTAAATACACTTTATTTATGATATTTAATTTGATAATACCTAATCATTTTTTTGTTTGTTTTAATGTATTGTTGGGTAAACAAAGCTGTCTACTTCTCTTTGCTTGGGACAAACAAATACACGTGGTGAGTACGAAGTGAGGATTCGTGATGCATACAGAGTAATGGAGGACATTTTGATAAAACTGCCAATATCTCAGGTTTATACTGTGAATCCCAGGACCTCATGTAATACTGCTCCTGAGTTCACATTACCTTTTTACAATTTGCAATGACCCACGATTGAGTTGAGGAATCTCGGTGTCCATCCTTGTCACGTTCACAGGATTTATTGTGCGAGTTGCATGAGAGTGTGGCACAGCACACAGATCAGTTTGCACAGATGTCACTGTGCCAAGCCGTTGGGTTTCTGAAAGAGTACAATTCCCACTGTGCTGCATTGTTTGTTTTTACCTTCTTTTTGTATTCTGAGCAGATTCTCAGTATTCTGAGAGCATTCTGAAACCCTGCACAGAATACACAGCTGAATTCATTTCCAGAAAGGCTGCACATCATTTGGTGGTTTTAGTAGCAGGTTGAATTAGTTTGTTGGATAGGTAGTTCATATATACAAAAAAAAAAAGCTTTGTCACAGATATTCTGTTTTAGGCTAAATTAATTTTGACTGAGGGATGTGTTTGCCTTGTGTGTAACAGGATTTGGTTCTGTCCTTTCCTTTAAGGTTTCACAGCTCATTGAAAAGCTGATGTAAAGCTGCATTTCCAACGTCCAAGTCTAAAATCTTTCTTAAACAGAATAAACGTGTGATCTGTAGTCCTTTGACATTTTGAAATGCTGTAGATGCTGTATCTTAAATTGGTTGTTGCATCACTCACATAGTACTCATTTCAACAACTTAAATTCAAAGGCAGTGCCTGTAATTCTGTGATCTGAGGTCATGCTAAGGCTAAAATGAGAAGGTAATGTGTTTCATTAAGCTGATTTCTTGTTGCTGTGTGCTGCAGTTGAAGAACACAACCATCCAACAGGAGTAACTCATTGTCTTTCAGTTCCATGCTGCGTGATATCTGATGGCTGTAACAGTTCTGTTTCAGTTTGTTGGCCATTGAATTGCTGGCTATGAATGGTCACTCCAAGTTTTTTGGCTTAACCCAATTCACACTGCTGCTTAATTGTCACTTAGATATTTTTTCTTGCTTTAAACACTTTCTATCCAAATACAACTAAACTTATCAATTTACCATATCGCAGTGTAAATGTTAAGAATCCCCTTGATGTAACGTACCAGATACTTACCAGATTTATGAGTAACATGATAACTGGATATGAAGTTCATGTCCTCATCTTGAATTGAACCTCTGAAATTGAAAACTACAGAAATAACCCTTTGTAACCACTCTAGAATCCTTCCCCATGAGTGGGGATAACTCTGCTTTGCAAGTCTTTGGACGTTATTATGGACTTCTCAATATGGGGAAAATAACTCCTGGTGCTTAGAGGATTTCCTCTTTAGCACTGCAAAAAATGAAGGCTTTCCAGTGTCCTTTGGAGCAATCTGAGTAAAGGTCTGCTATACCTGAATTTTGCTCATGTTCCTGTAGCCGCTTTTCCAAATAATACTCTGGAGCAGTGCTACCAAAAAATGATACACAAAATGAAAGTGAAGCTATGTTAAGTTTTCCTAATGAATTTAAGAATTAACTAAGAGTGCTTTTGTTATTGCAGTAGCTGTATGGCGTTGGCAATAATGTTGGCAATATGCTCTGTAAGCTGGAGTGAATCAGCTGACAGGGCTTCTGCCTGCCTGTATTTTTTTACCTGTTTTCTCTGTTACTGGATGCAGCACACGGATGCTTTTAGCAATAATGTTCCAGTTATTGTGGTCTTATAACAGTGGCATTGAAATAATAGCTGGAAAGGATGAGGACTTCAGACATTGTATTTTAGAAATGCTTCACATCTAGTTTATAATGCTGCCATTCTGCTGTGTTGGTCGGGGCTTGCTGGCTGTCCAGAAAACTGTCTGCATACATCTATCTGAAGGCCTTTCAAAATACAACCAAAAATTTAAATTATTCTAAAATACAGAATAATACATTTGGAACTATAAATGTCTGATGTGAATTGTTGGAGTGTCTGGATGAAGTCCTGGCTTCAGTGAAGTCAGTGCAAACTTTGCTCTTGGTTTCAGTAGAAGAGTTTTTATCTTTTTAGGCAAAATGTGAGTTGGGTGACACGAGCAAAGCTGCAGTGTCAACTTCTTGGCTAATGCAGTGATCTCTGGTTAACATTGTTACTGATTTATCTACTTAATGCAAATATTCTAATGTGCCATACAGTATTAAAATGGTAGAAAAAATACTCTTTAAGCACAGCTTTCGTACTGTTGGAAGGTCCGTCATCTCAGTATAATTGGGTAGTGGTAGGACAAGGGGGAATGGTTTTAAACTGAGACAGGAGAGGTTTAGGTTGGATATTAGGAGGAAGTTTTTCCCCCACAGGGTGCTGAGGCACTGGAACAGGCTGCCCAAGGAGGCTGTGGGTGCCCCATCCCTGCAGGCATTCAAGGCCAGGCTGGATGTGGCTCTGGGCAGCCTGGTCTGCTGGTTGGTGACCCTGCACACAGCAGGGGTTGGAAATGGATGAGCATTGTGCTCCTTTTCAACCCAGGCCATTCTATGATTCATCTCACTTTGCTGAGCTTTCTTATTACAAATACTTTATTGCTTAGCAGTGGTCTTCTCAGCTTAACATGAGGCTGGCCAAATTTAAACAAAATGTCTCCATTTATTTTCACTAAAACCAAATTTCCTTCTCCGTATTGAAGAGAAGGAGGAAGGGTTGGCATTATGTACTTGTGCAATTTAAGTATTTATTTAAGGAAGTAAAGTAGCTCTCGTGTGTAATACAGGCAGTCTGTCTCCAAAGAGGTCTCTGTGCCAATGCAGAGGTCAGGTGCATTAGTAATGTACCAAATCTCAGTCAAGCAGTAAGCAAGGCTTTGTTCAGCAATATCTCAAACCAACATTTATATATTTTTGATCTCAGGAGAGTGGATTTCAACTGGACACAGTGCGAGCATGAGGTTTTTGGAGGAGTTCTTGGCACTTTCTGCAGACAGGAGATGACTCTGTGTTGGTAAATGAAACTTGTTTTCCTCCCCAAATCAGACTAACATGTGTGTTCCTTTCAAGTGGTGCATCTTATTTAAACACTGACCCTTCCTTGGAAAAGCGAGCTTGAAAACCCCACTCCTCCGCAACGCACACACAGCCAATGAAATATTTCCTGTTTACAGATTACCCTTTTGAATTAAAATGATAACAATAATAAAATTCTGCTGATCTTGATTGTTAAAGTAGAGGGAATGTGATTAACTTGGTGCCGGATTAATCTCCCCCTTACAGGAGCAGTTCTGCCTCCTGTGTTATTTATGCAATCAACTGTGGCTTTGCTTTATTTGCCTGTAAGTATTTCACACAGTGCAGCTCTGACAGTGTGCATCCTGCAGTCCTGGTTGCACACTGTAGTTGCTCCATTTCTGTTTTTTGGCATTTCTCTGAGATAAAAAGCAAAGGGGATTGCCATAAGCAGCACAGTTTCTCTGGAAGGAGTAAGGGTTGATGTAAACGTGATATCATCAGTCATTTGTAGTTCAGATGTTTCATAGCCAACTAAACTTTCCAAGAAGGATTTTTTTTTTTTTAAATACTTTTCTCATCTGCACACATCTTAGAATACTGATATTCAAACAGACCAACTCTCAAAAGCCTTTCCAGGATTTGTTTATTCCCTTAACAAACATTAGAGGAGAAGAATGGTTTGAGCTGACTGCACATTAAATGGTTTGGGGTACTTTCCATTGCCTTCAGTGAGAGCAGAGTTTCCCTAAGTAGTTTATAGTTTTGTAAGTGACACCACAAAGTCAGGCATTGAAAATGAATTCTTGGCTCTAACAAGGACTTCCTTGCTTATTTCAAAATTGTGTGAAATAAGGGAAACTTGACTTTCTCATCCCCTATTGTAATTATCTGAGGGCAGGTTATGAAACAGCCAATATTTGGACGTGGCCACGGTGATGCTTTCTCATCTATTTTTTATTTTAAATACGAAGGAATCGATGAAATCTTTCCCGAATTGCTACATATGTTGGTTGTGCCATTCCGGGCATGACATCTCCCACTGGTCTGTACTGAAACCTTTTCTGAAGATTGTGCTCTTCACTTGAAACATGTTAACTTGGCTCTGTTTACTGAACTGAAGTGTTCCAGTAAGCATTGCTGCAACCGTGGGGTTGATTTCCTTGTTGCAAGGGTCGATGTCTCTTGCACCAGCAGTAATGCAAGCTCTCAGTGCTCGACAGGGGCGCGTGGAGGCACTGCAGAAATGTTGGTGGGTTACATTGGGAATTGTGTGAATACTTTTTACTATGGTGTGATGTGTAGAACGAGGAAAACGTGTTTTGCTTTCGGTTATCACTCGGTATTCAGTTACTTTATTTTGTCATTTGTGATGATAGAACTCAGAAAACGCAACGGGACCGAATGATCAATATGTAAACGTGTGCAGGACGGGGCGGAAGCAGTTCTGAGGCACAGTTGGAGAGTGATCATTTAATAACAGATGCTTACATTGTGTATATATACTTAACATCTATTTGATAGCGCGTTTGGATTAATTTTGCATTTCCTGTTCTTGTAAAGTGCGTTTTCCACACTTCTGAAGATTGTCTACCTGTACAATAGTGTATTCAGTGTTTTTTCAGGACTTCCATTGCCGCTGGAGCTTCCAACATGTATATGTTTCTTTTGAAGAAATTTTCCTTTTTTTTTTTTTTTTTTTTTTTTTTTTTGTAAATAGTTTTTTTTTTTTTTTTTTTGTTTTTGTATTAAAATTGCATGGATAAAACCCACATTTCCAAAACCAGTGTACATATACTCTGTGTATAAAATACAAACTGTTTCATAACCTTCGTGTAGGCAAGTTATTCCCTTGGTTTCACTTCGGTCTTTCTGTGTTCTGTCTATGGTAAATAATGACAGTTTGTCTGCTCTTTCAGAGGTGTCTGCTGTTGTTTTGAGAGATCACAGAATCAGAATCACAGAATTGTAGGGGTTGGAAGGGACCTCCAGAGATCATCGAGACCAACCCCCCTGCCAAAGCAGGTTCCCTACACCAGATAAGCTGCCCGGCTGCATATCAAACAAAAGAAATGGTAACTCCCATTCCGTGAAAATACAAAGGATGTATCTTAGGTCTTCTGGTTAATCAACAACGAAATGGATAAGAATATGTCAATTAAGATGTTTACATCTTAATTCAGCTTGGAAACTCCTGCTGATGGAGGTGATCCGCTTCCCTCCCCCGCTCTGGGCTGGGTGGAGCAGTAGCACAAATCACCCTTTGTCTCCTATGTAGTCATTAGGTGCCAGATCCAGCACGAGGGAAGCAGATCTGCTGGTTTTGCCAGTAGCTGTTGTTAAGTCAGGTTACACCATTGTAGTTAAAATGCACTATATGACAAAACTGATCTTTTTATTTTTTTTTTCTCCCTGAATTTCTCTCTTTGCACGCAACTTTGAGGTTTTGCTATGCTGAGTGAGTGTTAGAAGGTTTTTTGAGAGAGCTGTTGCTCTGTGATACTAATTGGGGTCGGAAGGGACCTTTAGGATCATGTCGTTCCAACCCCACTGCTATAGCAGGGACGCCTCCCTCTAGCCCAGGTTGCTCACAGCCCCATCCATCCAGCCTGGCCTTGAGTGCTTCCATGGAGGGTGATGTTTACAGCCTCCTTGGGCAACCTGGGCCAGTGTCTTTCTGCACTTGCATCACCCAGCTCTCCTGTGGTGGGACTCTTTAAAGCAGTAACTGAAAAGCAGCGTTGCTAAAAGTGAGCAACATCCCTTGATGAATACGTCTAGGCAGTTGGATTTTTAATACTGTTTTTCTTTTAACTAGAGCTGAAGGGTTTGTTAGGTTTCATTCTGAGTCTGTTCAGCTCCCAGTCCTGAAGAAAGCTCTCCTCTTATAAACAAGCATTCTGGCTCTGCAGGGGGAATGACCACATCACTCGTTGGTCACCTGCATGAGAAAAATCACTCTGCAATAAGAGAAGTGCCAGCAAATAATTTCCATAAGACGCTCTGAGAGAAATGGAGAATTCATTGGGGTTTGTTTTTTTTAGTATAATTTTTTTTTTACATTTGAGATTAATTTCTCATAGCCCTTCCTTGGTGTCCTGCTTGCACACCCATTGCACACCTCGGTCTTTGCCTGCTGTTTTGCTGTGGTTAAGGCTCTTGGCTGTG